TTAGATACTTTAATATGTCAATAAAACCCTTTAATCCGTAATTAGTAAGTACGTATTTGAAAAAAATTAAACTTGTGAGTATGTAAAATCACATGAACAATTTCTCATCCTCTCCTACGTGTATTTTCAATTACCTTTCACAAATACTTTGAAAAGTAATAAAAATTTTATGTGCTATCTACGTATCATGTTTTTTAAAATATAATCGACTACAAATAACCAAGTTTTAAAATTTCTGTTGCTGTTAAATATGTTTTCTGATTTTTTGCGACGCTTTACATTTGCGACATTTTACAGCGAGCCTGTTAGCTAACAAGGCAGTCGCAAGCCTTATATTGGAATCCTAAAGAAAAATTACATAATCAGTATGAATTGAGTAAAAACATGCCCCATATTTCCTAATATTTATTTAAAAAAAGGAAAACATTTAAATATAAAGTTTATGTTTATGTCAATAGGAACTAGAGAAGACAGTTTACGTTTAAAACATTATCTTCAACAGGAATTGAACTTGAGGCTTCTGAATTGGACATACACATTTAAATTTCATTTACATTATTAATAAATTATGTTCTAATTTAGCTTTCTCACTTTTATCTCAAAACATATACATATACAGTCTATATGATAATATATCTTTCATCTCACTATATGATAACATTGTGCAAAGCAGCATCACCATACGTTAGTATATTATGACAGTTTACATAACGTCCATTCGGAATCGATTTCAAGATATTTTAATTATAGTATATTAAGACAGGTTACATAATGGTCATTCAAAATCGATTCCAAGCTCTTTTAATTACGATATATTATGACAGTTTACATAACGTCCATTCGGAATCGATTTCAAGATATTTTAATTATAGTATATTAAGACAGGTTACATAATGGTCATTCAAAATCGATTCCAAGCTCTTTTAATTACGATATATTATGACAGTTACATAACGTCCATTCGGAATCGATTTCAAGATATTTTAATTATAGTATATTAAGACAGGTTACATAATGGTCATTCAAAATCGATTCCAAGCTCTTTAATTACGATATATTATGACAGTTTACATACGTCCATTCGGAATCGATTTCAAGATTTTAATTATATAATTAAGACAGGTTTACATATGGTCATTCAAAATCGATTCCAAGCTCTTTTAATTACGATATATTATGACAGTTTACATAACGTCCATTCGGAATCGATTTCAAGATATTTTAATTATAGTATATTAAGACAGGTTACATAATGGTCATTCAAAATCGATTCCAAGCTCTTTTAAATTACGATATATTATGACAGTTTACATAACGTCCATTCGGAATCGATTTCAAGATATTTTAATTATAGTATATTAAGACAGGTTACATAATGGTCATTCAAAAAATCGATTCCAAGCTCTTTTAATTACGATATATTATGACAGTTTACATAACGTCCATTCGGAATCGATTTCAAGATATTTTAATTATAGTATATTAAGACAGGTTACATAATGGTCATTCAAAATCGATTCCAAGCTCTTTAATTACGATATATATTATGACAGTTTACATAACGTCCATTCGGAATCGATTTCAAGATATTTTAATTATAGTATATTAAGACAGGTTACATAATGGTCATTCAAAATCGATTCCAAGCTCTTTTAATTACGATATATTATGACAGTTTACATAACGTCCATTCGGAATCGATTTCAAGATTTTTAATTATAGTATATTAAGACAGGTTACATAATGGTCATTCAAATCGATTCCAAGCTCTTTTAATTACGATATATTATGACAGTTTACATAACGTCCATTCGGAATCGATTTCAAGATATTTTAATTATAGTATATTAAGACAGGTTACATAATGGTCATTCAAAATCGATTCCAAGCTCTTTTAATTACGATATATTATGACAGTTTACATAACGTCCATTCGGAATCGATTTCAAGATATTTTAATTATAGTATATTAAGACAGGTTACATAATGGTCATTCAAAATCGATTCCAAGCTCTTTTAATTACGATATATTATGACAGTTTACATAACGTCCATTCGGAATCGATTTCAAGATATTTTAATTATAGTATATTAAGACAGGTTACATAATGGTCATTCAAAATCGATTCCAAGCTCTTTTAATTACGATATATTATGACAGTTTTACATAACGTCCATCGGAATCGATTTCAAGATATTTTAATTATAGTATATTAAGACAGGTTACATAATGGTCATTCAAAATCGATTCCAAGCTCTTTTAATTACGATATATTATGACAGTTTACATAACGTCCATTCGGAATCGATTTCAAGATATTTTAATTATAGTATATTAAGACAGGTTACATAATGGTCATTCAAAATCGATTCCAAGCTCTTTTAATTACGATATATTATGACAGTTTACATAACGTCCATTCGGAATCGATTTCAAGATATTTTAATTATAGTATATTAAGACAGGTTACATAATGGTCATCAAAATCGATTCCAAGCTCTTTTAATTACGATATATTATGACAGTTTACATAACGTCCATTCGGAATCGATTTCAAGATATTTTAATTATAGTATATTAAGACAGGTTACATAATGGTCATTCAAAATCGATTCCAAGCTCTTTTAATTACGATATATTATGACAGTTTACATAACGTCCATTCGGAATCGATTTCAAGATATTTTAATTATAGTATATTAAGACAGGTTACATAATGGTCATTCAAAATCGATTCCAAGCTCTTTTAATTACGATATATTATGACAGTTTACATAACGTCCATTCGGAATCGATTTCAAGATATTTTAATTATAGTATATTAAGACAGGTTACATAATGGTCATTCAAATCGATTCCAAGCTCTTTTAATTACATAATTATGCAGTTTACATAACGTCATTCGAATCGATTCAAGATATTTTAATTATAGTATATTAAACAGGTTACATATGGTATTCAAAATCGATTCCAAGCTCTTTTAATACGATATATTATGCAGTTTACATAACGTCCATTCGGAATCGATTTCAAGATATTTTAATTATAGTATATTAAGACAGGTTACATAATGGTCATTCAAAATCGATTCCAAGCTTTTTAATTACGATATATTATGACAGTTTTACATAACGTCCATTCGGAATCGATTTCAAGATATTTTAATTATAGTATATTAAGACAGGTTACATAATGGTCATTCAAAATCGATTCCAAGCTCTTTTAATTACGATATATTATGACAGTTTACATAACGGCCATTCGGAAACGACTATAAAGCTATTTTAAGCTGTTTTAATTATAAATTCATTTTTATCAAAAGCATATTAGTTACGAATTTTAAATGGAATGATATACACTATTTGTAATTCAGATGTAAAGAGATGTCTTTATTAAATCTTAATAGTCATAGTAATAGGTTGATCTTAATAAATTACTTCATCACATACATTTCAAATGAGTCTTGAATATGTCATTCGACTCGACGCCTATGTCAAACATGTCGAAGCATACTTAAGGGGACTCATACATCTTAAACCCCTCATGATCTTCGAATATGTGACTATTGCAAGAATTGGGATATTTTGTTTATTTTAAAAGCAATTACTTCCAACTTTTTACAGCTGACTTCATGATATAGCTGCTTTGGAAACTAGTAACCAGAAAGTTTGTGTTGCCACAAATATTTTTGTAATTTAATCCTCTTTGTGACAAAATATTTTGCCATATTTCCACCTTGCGCGCATGATATTTTAAAAATGGCTAATGGTACATACTTGACATTGGATGGAATTCTTTATATGGGCACTATTTTCTAACTGAAACAACAATCTGATGAATATTGTACTGTTGAAAAATTTTATGGACGAAAACATTACACATTTTTTTTAATAAAATACATTTTATAAACTCAACTCAAAATAAAATAAAAATTTAACATGAAATTTTTAGAATTTTAGGTTCACAGTAGTTTCCAGACGTTATAAAAGCTATGTATTAAATATGGAATTAAATTATGCAACAGAATATTTTAAACTGTGCGCGCAAGGTGGAAACATGACGAAAAATGTTGTCACAAAGCGGATTAAATTATAAAAATATTTCTGGCAACACAAACTTTCTGATAACTATTTCAAAAAGCAGCTATATTATGTTGTCATCTGTAAAAAGTTGATAGTAATTGCTTTTAAAATAAATATGTTATCTCAATTCTTGCAACAGTCACCTATTCGAACATCTTATGGGTTTTAAGGTGTACGAGTCCCCTTAAATTAAAACGTAACTTTTTATCGATATGGTTTCATAACATTATGGAGAAATGGGAAATCATATTCACAATATAATTAAGATGTTATATTAGCTTTAGAAATCAGTAAATTATTACATTAAAAAAATTTTTTAAGATCATCTCTAGTTCAATGTAACGCTTGTACTACTGAAATTCTGGGATATTTTTCATACTTATATATTATATATAAATCATATATAAATCCTGAAATATTTCAAGCATGTAACACAACCAGATCTACGTAATTCCGAAATGTTTTTACTTATAATTAAATGCTAATAAATTATATGAATTAAAATACGAAATATAACCTTTAGCCACTATTTAACGAAGGATTTAAATATCGCTTATATTTTTTGAACATTACTCAATGTTTTATGAATAAATTTGATTTCATCTCTCTCTCCTCCCTCCAGTTTCAAACCCACCCTCCTCCTTTTTTTCTACTGCTGTTGTTCTTTCGTTTTGTTTTCATTTCCTCAGCAGCCACAATTTCTTTATCTTGTACGAAAGCAATATTAATTGAGATGAAATTCACAAATATTCTGCATAATTACTTATAAAACCTTCCTGATATAAACAAAACTAATTATATAATAAATTTATATTAATTACTACCTCGTTTCAAAAATTAAATTTATATGGAAAGCTTCATAATATTTCGAAATATTTAAGATCCGTTTGCTGAATGTAATAGTTAAAAAGACTTACTATGAACCGGAGACAGTGACCTTGTCACTTGGAACCAAGGAAGAGCAACGCTGAGCGGATGATTCCACGGTGCGGTGGGGGATCCCATGTTCGTTTCCGGATGACCCAGTCCGGCAGTTTTTGCCGCCGAAGTAGGCGGCAGATATCCGGGCGCCAGTCCGGACGTTTTCAGGCCATGATCGAGGATTCTTTCCATGCTGAACCGCCTACTTAATATATCAGAAACGACTTGGCGACTAGAGGAACCATTTAAAGCTTTGGTTTCAGTCCTTTGTTCCGGACTACACGAGGACCTTCGTCCATTGTCGTTGGATAATAAAGAGTCAACAGAAAAAGAAAATGTTTTGGACGATTTTGATATAGTCTTTGTGGCAACCACATCTGGGCTTTTAGATGGAGACCTCGAACTGTTTGGATGCCTTGAAGACATGGCCATTCTTGAACCAAGTATCACTGGAGACAGTCTTTGGTACTCCGATCCGTTATGTGTCTGAGTGTCTTGATTAACGGGAATGTCAATGCCGTTTGGTGAACTAAGCTGCATTGTCCTTGCAAAACTCAGCAGACGAAATGTGAAAAAGGTCGGATGCTTGCTGTACGTTATATTATCAGAAACTACAAGGATACCATTCAGGAGCTGCAGGACCTCATTGACATCATCGCAGTCAAACAATCCACGAACACCGCTAAAATTCCGAATGAGAAGCAAAATAAAAGAGCCGATAGCGTTGGGGAAATCAGCAATCTCCGTGCACTTCCGATAATTACCGAGAAGTTAATTAGCGCCGAACGAGCTGACGATCGGACTGCCGTGTTCTCAGTAAGGCGAGTCTCGGGGTGGGTGAACGATTGGCAATCCTTCACTCTTCTAACTGGGAAATGGATAACACGTTATCAACTTCTTAAACAGCCCCGGTCCATTCTTTTGACTAAATGCAAGCAAAAGCCTTCCTGAGGCACGTTGGATGGAGGATAGGCGTATCCGGACGCGGCCAATGGAAGGCGCGGAGGCGCAGGGGCCACGCCCTCGTTGTCATGACGACGGGAAGAGGATAGAGTGAGGGGGAATAAAGAGTGGAGTGTCTTTTCCGTAGCATCCAACAGCTGTCCGCATCTCCTTTATCGATGGCGATTTGTCAGCCTGACTGCGGGATAATCGTAATCACTTCTGGGCCTCCCGGCTTCGTTTAATGGTGCGGGGTGCTAGAATTTTCCCTCTATCGCTCGCTCTCTTTCACTCCTGCTTCTTTCTCTCTTTCACTCCTGCTTCTTTCTCTCTTTCATGAACAATTCTACCCTCTCGGAATGCAAAGTTGAACAATTTCTCCGGGAGAAGGGAGCTCCATCCGTTTTGATTAAGTGTAATTTTCCTGTTGCCCTAAACGAGTTGAATAAATGAGCGATTTGTTTGTCCAGTTCTACATGAAGGAGCTAATTTAAATGCTTGAAATTTAATAACTTTGCCTTTACTGCTATGATTATTTATTCGGCAGTTCCATTATATCAGTATAATACAATAAATAAATAAATTATCATGAATTACAGATTTCTTTTGCTATATATATTTGCAATTAAGTCTTATGACAGCTTCAAACTTTGCTAAAGAGAAAAGAGTTTTTCTTTATATTAGAGTACCATTCCTTCGCGATCTTACAAGAAGTAATTAATTCACTTCTAACTAAGTAACTAATTAAGGGCTAAATATGTAATTAATTCACTTACAGGCTGAAAAATATTAATCTTTCATTAGAATCCTACATTTATATGGCATGTTACGTAACGTTTCTGATTTGGTTTGGTTTGGTTTATTTGATTATGGCAAAGCACTCGACGACTATCTGCCTAAAGATCGTGGAAGACTTTCTAAGAAAAATTGACCCGTACACACATTACACGTATGGAAATCAAAAAAAAGTCCATGCAGGCAGCCCCTTCATGCATAACATTTCTGGATTCAATGCTTATTTCTTGGGCTTTCAATGCATAGTTTTATTTTTCAATGCTTGTTTCATTAAAGAGTTCAGAATGATATCGAAGAAAAACTGAAAGATTTAGACAATATTTAATCATTATTAAAACAAACAGCATGTTTTTCTAGTACTTGCTTCTCCATAGAAAAATACAACAGCATAAATAATTGGCCCACCAGCGGCCGAGCGGTAAAATCGCTGAACACTGGTAGTTCGGTCCGAGGTTCGAATCCCGCAAACGGGCTGGCTGCATGGGCGTTTTCGTGGTTTTTCCCATGTGTAACGTGTTTACGAGCCAGTTTCCCTTAGAAAAGCATCCCTCCCCTTAGGCAGATAGCCGTAGTGTGCTTTGCCGTATTCTCAATACACCAGCATAAATAATTTATTTTTCATTTTTATTTAAGTTATCTTATAAATTTAGAAAGTGTCCTATAGTTTTGATTAAATGAAAGATACTTATCGAATTCACTCAAATATTGGTTAAGTCAGACCTCTAGCAACTTAAAATTCTCGATGGTGTCATTGATTTGTATTAGTAGATCTAGTAATTACAAAAAAAAAAAAAAGTCGTATTTTAAGATTTTAAAGAAGTATATAGTTGGGCAAATTTGTTTTGACATACCTAGTTACATTTGCATGAATGTATGCGTGTTTTCGCACTGTGAAAAAACGACGGTACCTGGTGCCATCCAATTCTGAACCCGAATATGAACCTCCACCCGAATATGAACACCTGAAAGCTCGAATTTGGAATTTGTTTTGTTGTGTATTTCATATTTTCCAAAACTTTAACGAATTTTTAACTGGCCAACTCAACGATTTCAAAGCGAGAAATCTCAACACTGTACGGGGGAAAAAAAAAAAAAAAAAAAAAGTGCGAAACTGTCTGTCGGAAATTCTGAAGATATGCTGCTTTCAAATATTTTTTTATATTGCTGTTGAATTGAATTTAATGTGTTTTGAGTGCGAAGAACATGATATTTAATAAATAAAGGGAACACACAAAACATTAGTAAACATTTTCCTTGGGCATAATATGAAATCTGAACGCTTTCATATTCTTTTTTTAAGTCTTTTCCTTCGAGGCATATTATATAACTATAAATATTAAATAAGGACATTCGTTTCCTTCCTTTTTGATTCAGAAACTGCTCCCGCTATCTCCTGAAAATTGCATACTTCATTTGGGAAGAGTAAATACCATTTTCAAAAACTAAATCAGTTGCAAAATACCGTTAGTAAAGTGTTTTTTCCTGAAACAGATGCTCATTTTTTAGATGAAATTAAATTAAAATTTTTTGTAAACCGCGAAACGGGTATTTCGAATTCCACTTGATTTAAATCAGAAACGTTATGAAAATTGAAGACAAAATATTCGTATAAGAGCTATTTGGCTTTCTGCATAAATGTTTTTTTTAATGTTTTACGATGAAAAAAATGTCTTATGATTTTGAAGTAAGATTGATTTTATTCATTTTCATCCTCGACTAAAGGTTATTCAGTAATTTTAAAGAAATGTAGGGTATAAGATATTTCTCCCACCTTCTTAGCATGCCTTCGTGGTGTAGTGGTCAGCACACTCGGCGCATATTCGAGATTTCCGTGGTTCGATATACCTAACGTCTCTACAAGATATTCATATGCAAGTATTGTTAACAAATTGAACAGTCAATTAACTTTTGCTTATATTTAATATATCTTTACTATCATTATATAATTATTTCATAAACTCTTATATCTATATTTGATAGATATATATAGATATATGAAATAATTTAAATCATCGCCTGAGAGATTTATTATAATTTGCAAATTTTAAAATAAAAATTTGAATAAGTAGTGATGGAATTTAGAATAATCGCGTTTATGTATTTTCCTAAGCCTGATTTTTTTTTTTTTCCCTGAGAAATATTTATGTTATTAGATTACTGCATGGTATGGTTTCATGTTCAAAACTTAAATGGTCAACATTAGAGTTACACTTTTGAAAACACAAAGATGAAGCTATTTAAAAATATATATATTTTAAGATTTTCCTTTCTTTTAATGCTGAACATTTAGGTACATAAAATGCAAAGCAACAATCTTGTATTTGGCGTAGATTTAGTCAAGAATGAATTTCGAGGGCAAAAAGGTATAGGTCCTTCTTCATCAGGAGCAAAGAAATATGGGTGGTCGCAGTGTTGTGCAGACGTCGACCTACAACCTTCTTTGCACTTTGGAAAGCTGTTCAAGAGGAATGGGATAAAATAGCTGCATATACATTAGTATATGGGTCAGTGTGATTACATTTACTGAAATATTACTGCATTCAGCATATCGAAAATCGTTGCTTCAAAACAGGGGGTATATATAGTCTGTTCTCGAAACTCGCTATCTCACCATTACTCTTTGGCTTAGTAAATAAACAGTTCAAAATTGTAATCATGTTTAATAATTTTTCATAGCTTTTTACATGCAGATTTTATTTTGCGAAAACGGCCCTCGGTAATTCCTTTTTATTATTTTTTAGTAGTACTAAATTTTTTTAATTAATATGTACGCTGATCCACCATAAATTTAACTTTCACCTAATCTTAGTCATGGCCTGATTATTATTGATGGCTAGAGCTAAAGCTAGAACTCTAAATTCAACATATGGTTCCTCATTATGCTGTTTTCCTTCCTAAAAACTTGGGAAGTAGTCATTGGGAGTTCCATGAAAGAAGACAAAGCTCAAAGTCCCAGATTACTTTGACCGGACCTTGGCTTTTAATCGTTATTATATTAAAAAATGAATATTTTTAAAGAGAAGTTTATATGTTAGTAATGACAAAGAATTTTCCCCAAATGCATCTGGATCTGGAATTCCCTTTATTCTTTAAAAAACATAATGTCATGAATTAATGCAATGATAATTTGTGAATTTTTTTTCAAAACTGAACATAAAAAGGAAGATTTTGTAACATGCTTATCCTCTGTGAAGATTATTTTCACTTTAGTAAGTTATCTGTGATAAAATCAGACAACTTTAAATAACGGTAATTAAAAAAGGGGAAAAAATACAAAAATCTGAAAGCCTTCAGATTTTACATTACGTCCAAGGGGACTTTTTTTAACGTTTTGTATGCTACCTTTGTTTATTAAATATCATGTTCTTCGCACTTAAACTATAAAATTCAATTCAAAAGTAATATCCCAAAATAGTTTTAAAATGAGCATATCTTTATAATTTCCGATACACAGTCTCGCGCGTTGGAGATATTTCTTTTTAATACAGTGTTGCCATTTCTCGCTTTGAAATCGGTTGAATTTGTTAATAAAAAATTCGTTTAAAGTGTTATATGAAATCGGTTATAAAATAAGTTCCAAATTCCAAATTAGGCTTCCAGATACCTATATTCGGTGGAAGATTACGTTATTCAAAATTTGATGGCTCTAGGTACCGTTGTTTTATCACAATGCTAGAAACATACATACATTTGTGCAGATTCTTCATTATTTAATTTTTTTTAATATAACGCAGGGCGATAATATTTTGGTGGCAACAATCTGAAAAGTGAAACGGGTATTAAGATTTTCGACGCAAAATTCCAAAACGAAAGTAATAACCCTTCCGGGCTAACGCCCTTTGGGCTAAAAAAAAATATCGTCATTTCAAACTACGCCTATAAATAAGATAAAAATGTGCTTTTATGGTTAGCTTCACATTAAATTCCATCAATCTCTAAAAATACGCTAAAGTGGGGCGTAACTACGAGAGAAGTTTTCATGAATTTGCCTTCAGGCGAGATTCCACATCTGATAAAAGGCAATATGCACAACAAAACGCTCGTTAACTAGTATGTAACGATTTAATTATTGCTGATGCCCATTTTATGGCGCCAGTTAACTGTCAAAGGGATTTACATTCTTTTCAAGTCCAGCCTTCCACCACAAGAG